AGAAGAGGGGAAAATAAACCGTGTCCTGCATTGGCTCTTCATTAAGTTCCAAATAAACCTTAACTCAGTCTTTATGTCCATCCCTACCTCTCCTCTCACTCCTCTTTCTCCTCCTTTCTCTTCCTTCCTACATGGCCTGAGGAAGCAGTTAGCTCTCTGAATGCTCTCACTCTATTGTGAGTTCACATTGATTGCCTCTACCCTCTCCAAAGCCAGTCGGGCCAGTCAGCATGGGGTACAGGCTGTCTGCTTTATCCACCGTGGCTCACATTTTTCTGAGAAATAAAAGAGGGAGAGAGAGTCTCGGAGTGAGTTCCTCCTCCACTCCTGCAAACAGAGAACCAGATGCATTTGTTTTACTCCCCCCTCTCCCTCTCTTTTTCTCCCTCTCCCGCCTCTCCTCTCAGTGGCTGTACTCTAAAGGGAATCAATAGTGTACTTAAACGGATTTCTCTTGTGTCTTGTTGTCAAATACGTTGTGCACCTCTACCTTTCTCCATGTGGGCTGATCTTTGTGCGCTGCGGTAACGTCTCAGCGCCGCTCATTTATATGCCCTTGATCTGCATTTCCGCTCTTTGTCTGTTTTACACTTCTGTAATATCCTTTACACCTACCCAGTTAATGGTGCTTTGGCACAGTCGCTTGTGTTTCCTCTAAGGAGGTCTGTGAGGGCGATAGAGCGCTGTGTAAAGAAGCTGTAAATAATCTGTGAACGCTCAGTCTGTGTGTGAAAGCTTATGTCAGCAGAACTGAAACTCTCCTTCCATCATGTAGCTATGAAGTCCCAGCAGCATCAATCATTTCCCCTGTGATTGTCAGGGAATTAGCTGAGCTGTGGCGCTCCGTGGAATGCCAGCTCATGTCAGTCCGGGTCGAAAAGTGCAGCAAAATGGGGATACGTGTCCAAATTATCTCTCTGGTTTTTTTTTTTGTCCTTTCATTTGGCTTTTCATCTGAGAGGGAAGTAGCTAATAATGTAATCATATTGACACATTGACACCTGCCAGACCACAATTGAATTGAGCATGGTTTTGAAATTCCGTTGTAAGCAAGCAAAATTTAAATGATGTGAAATTCAATTAATTGACAAACTTTGTATGTTAGCTTTTGAATGTTGACAGAGCCTTGTTTGAAACTTTTGGAAAAACTTTAAAAACAAAACTTAAAAGGTTGTGCGTCTATAGAAATATTTCATGAAAATTTGCACTTAATTTAATCTGTTGATACATTTTATATTTAATATTTATAGACACAATTTATTTATTTATTTAATTTGTTTAACTATATTTAAATATGAATACATTTTATATTTGATGATTCAATAATAAATATTTTGTTTAATTTTTTATTTATTTTACAATGTTGTTTTTACATTATTTATTTAGAATTTATTTTATATTTATTTATTTGTATACATTTATTATATGTGACCCTGGACCACAAAACCAGTTATAAGGGCCAATTTTTTTAAATTGAGATTTATACATAATCTGAAAGCTTAATAAATAAGCTTTCCATTGATGTACGGTTTAGGATAGGACAATATTTGGACGAGATCTGAAAATCTGGAATCTGAGGGTGCAACAAAATCAAAATATTGGTAAAATCACCTTTTAAGTTGTCCAAATGAAGTCCTTAGAAATGCATATTACTAATCAAAAATTAAGTTTTGATATATCTACGGTAGGAAATATACAAAATATCTTCATGGAACATGATCTTTACTTAATATCCTAATGATTTTTGGCATAAAAGAAAAAAACGATAATTTTGACCCATACAATGTATTGATGTATATAAATATAAATATAAAACACTTACATTTAAGTAATTAAATAATTAAATATATATATAATGCATTATGTAAATTCCTCTTCCTTCCTGTCATTCCAGTTCAGCTTCCTGTGGGATGTGACCAGTTCAGTAAAAAAAAATCACACTCATGAATTGAAAGGGAGCCCATTTTTCAGTTCTGAATTTTGCACAACCCTGTCCAGCACGTTCCCAGACCTTATAAATTCTGTCTTGATTTCTTGCATCTGTGTGTGTATGAAATTATACCGAGGTTCAGTCAAGCAGAAGTCACTCCACCTAAAGTCTATCCATCTTCTTGGCAGCCATCTGGTCATATTGTCTCAGAATGTAAGAGTTGAGGGCTTATCCATGAACAATAAGAACCCTTACAACAACCAGCTTTGAACTGAAGTGTGCTGTTCATTGACTGCTCGTGATTTTGTTCGCATGAACCGTGGCATCTCTGAAGGACTTCACAAAAACATGATTAATGGCCCAGAACACAGGATATTACAGGCAGCTTAAAAGATATATCACAATAGTCACTGTGGTACTCAGCATTACTAACGCCGTGCTTTGATACTGATGTTACACGGGGATATCCATCTTTGCAAAAGCCATTTGAGGCACAAGTCATCCTATCGACAAATTCAAACAGCATCTGTTAAATCACTTTGAAAGTCAGGCCTTGATAAAGTGCCTCGAGACCTTAGGAAGAAGTGCATGTCAACAAAAAGACATTAGCCAATCAGGATTGAAAAGGAAGTGTGGTTAAAGCAGCAACTGGAAAACTAATGGAAAATATCTGAATGTGAGAAAAAGGGTGCTTTGACATTGACTGCAGAACTTAAATTGTCATTCGGCGGATAGTGAACTCTCCTTTTAAGAACAGGACAGAAATAAATATGAATTACTGCCTTTGACCGATGATGTCATCTGCTAGATTTATCCCTGCCAACTTAGATAGCTGTACAGGAGCAAGTGTCCTTGAGACAGAGTGCTCAGAGAATGGGCCCCAGTCAGCAGCGGTGCGGTGGAGATGCTAAGGATGTCAAAAGACACTTCCAAACACTTTCTCTGAAAGCACTGGTCAAAGATTGTTGGGAAATAATTGACAGATGGCAGGGAAAAAATCTGATGCCCTATTGAGAAATATGTCACAGTGTTCCTATAATCAAAACAATGGGTTCTGTGAATTGACAGGGGGTGTCAATTGTCACACCTTCTGTTTAACCAATTATACATGAGCTATAGGGGTTTAAATCACTGTCATACATGACCACCATCCTCCTGAGGTGACAGTAGACTTATAGACTTATAAAAAAAGGTCATTTTTCATATCTGATTTATGATTTGATTAGTGATCATGTTAATGGATGCAGGATAGTTAACTAAAACTAAACCTTAAACCATAAAAAAAATTGTCACTTGGAAAAAAAACACTAACTGATAAACTTATAAAACACTTTATTGAACTAATTTAGTTGAACTTACTGCAGTAAATAAAATTGAAACGAAAAACTTTAAACATATAAAATGATAAAAAATGACAAAACAACAGAATTACAAAAACTTTGACTACAATTAAAATGAATACAAAAAAATATTAATAAAAATAAAAAAATATTCATACCAAAATAACACTGAATGGGTGACAGACGTGGGATCATATAAATAAGCAGTTTCTCTCAATTTGGTTTGAAACATTCACACAACTTCTACATGCTAATAAAAATTTGCACTTGCGACATACACTGTATATTATGTTTTATGTATTTCAGTGTTTGCTTTCAATTAAAATGATTCTTTACTATATTGAATTGAAATGTTTAAAGTGAAATAGGGTGGTGATGGATCTCATAATTATCTTGAACAAGTATGCAAAACAACTTTTGAACAAGTCTTTTCTTTTAATTCTGCAAACAGTGATGTAGATTGTATTCTTTTGACAAATTAATTTACACAGTTTCATTGCAGATATATAAACCGCTTTAATTACTGTATAGAAAAGTTATAGAACTCAGAATATGACTATATTAAAAACAATAAAACTGCTTGTCATATTGAGCAAGTTGCTTTGCTCCTGTCAGGAGAAAAAAAAAAAAAGACAAGCTGTAAAATCCCAGGCAGAGTATTTGCATATCTCCCTATTTTAGGACATAAGTCATAGGGACATGCTGGAATTTTGTTGTGGTGGTGTGTGAGGCAGCGCAGCGTGTGATGCACTACTAGACGCCCGCTCGCTTGGTCAGTCGAGTCGTGCAGCATTGGCTGAGGAGAGGAGAGAGGAGAGGAGAGGAGAGGAGAGGAGAGCAGAGGAGGCAGTAGATGCGCGCTGTGTCTCGGCACTGTTGGAAGAGTCATTGTTCCTTGACGTCACCACTCAGCCAAGCCTGGCGCTGCTGCTCTCAAACACGTCTTTGTTATTCAGAGCTTTCCATCGGCGAATCGCAAAATACGGAACGAGCGATTCCTTTTATTCACGGGAAGTAGGAGGACTCACATGGGGGCGCGTTTGTTTGTGTTTGGGGAGGAGATTTCTATCAGATAACTTCTAACCGTTTAGATTTATAAGCGAAATACAAAAAATATGGATTCGTGTAACGCATTATTATTATTATTATTACTATTTTTATAATTATTATTAGCCTATATGCGTATTATAATATTATATGAGTATTATTTTCAAAAATACATATTTTTTGTTTTAGAAATGCAGAAAGGAAAAAAGTATGAGAGGATCAAATATAAAATTCGATATGAAAGTGTCTGCTAAATGCATAAATATAAACTTAATGCTTAATGTTCACACAAAAATGGGCCTTTATTTATGTAAATAATTGTTTATATGATGTTTACTCATAATTAGAGCTTGAAAAGAATGGTCACTTAATGGTTTACTTAAACAGATTAGTAAGTGCAAATGGTACAATAATTGGAACAATAATTGCACTTTACATATGGCGTTGTTTTGATACATGTTATATCGTTAGTCATACTACTATGTATTCATCATTAACCTGCCTGGAAATAAAGGCATTGTGGTCTCCGTGGTTTGATTATAATGAAGTAAAGCCAAACGACATTTATTTTGTAGTATTCGAACAGCAAACAACTGGAGCTCGCGTGTAAAATCCAGTCCGTTCATCTGCGCGCGCCGCCTGGTGTCTTCCAAAGGCGCGAGCGCTTTACGCGACTCTGGGACACATTTTGTCAGCAACCAGCAAGCATGGCTCTGTGGTAATAGAATAGCCCGTGTAATTTGACACTTCAACTTGCCGTGCACTACGTTAGTTGATTCAGACAGTCACACTAACGAAACGCCGTGCGCTTTTCTCTCACTGTTTGTGAAGTGTTGAGGGAAGAAAACAGATCGCAACTTCAAATCCAGGAGATTTTCGGCGCCGTGCTGTGATTGGACCTGAAAGTAAGTTGTGTTTGTGTTTTCCTATCATTTTCACACCTCGCTCGCTGGGAAGCTTTTTATGCATTGCACTGAAATGAATCCGAAGCCTCCGCGCAAGCTCCAACCTCAGCTAACAATAGAGTCACTTAAAGTATCGCTAAGATGTGTACACGTATTTCTGCGCAGGAAACAATTGCACTAACTGAAACGTTGGCGATACGGCTTTGTGTTTTCGAAGCAAAACACTATTGAGCAATTTTTCCTGGACAGTGGCGTTCAGAGGAACGCGGAATTTGGTTGAACCGGAGAAGCCCACCGTTTACATACCGTTCAGCGTATCGTTCTGGTGTGTTGCATTGTTCAGATGAAGAGGGCACTGTCATGCGGTGGACGGTTGGTTGGCACGCTTAGATGGGCACATTTGGATGGCTTGGTTGCACGAATGCGATTTAAATTCGCCGGGTCTTTTTGATTAGGTGAAAATTATATTGTGGCTGCTTGTTAAGTGATAAGAAACAAGGCTTTCCACCATGTGCTGAAATGTGATGTTTCATGCTGTGCTCTAGTAACAGGACAACCGCGTTCGGAAGCGCGATGATACGTTGTAACCGCTTATACATTGTAACATCTCGTTCGAATCTTGGAATCCGTGAATGCTTGAATGTAACATTGGAGCAGACTTTGAGGACACACGCAGTGTTGGGTACCAACTGACTATGTGACCTGGATTTCGTAATAAGATTAGAAAAATCAAGTGTTTGTAATTAGAAATCATTGCATTTTTACATATAGGCTATTTAATTAGATGACAGTTGACTTGTGATTGCATAATTACATATGGGTTACGTTAGATGCCAGGAAACGGCAATAAATTAATGTTTCATAAATTTGTAATTTACTGATTGTGCCCCATGTAGCTGTAAAATACGCACAATACATGCAAAAATAAATTCAAGCAGATACATATTGTTGTGTAATGCAGTTATTATTTTCTAAATATAAATGTTTACATACTAGTTTACTAGTTTATTTGACTGTTTAATCTAAGGAAACTTAATTTGCACTTGATACACTTATTTACGATTCAATATTAAGCGAGACACATAATATAGAAATAAACGGATAAAGCTGATGTTAAAGAAGTAAGTTTCTTGTTGCTTTTGTTTGTATTTTTATCAAAATCCAGAAGTGAACAGATTATGATTTAGTCATAAAATTTGTAATTACATTAAGAAGAAAACTACCCAACACTGTACAGTTCACACATACCAAGTGTCCACCAGCTTTTTTTTTTTTTTGGTAATGCATGTATTAGTTATTTATTTTTGATTAGTAAGTGAACAGTTTATTCATGAGATTCTCACAGTTAGTAATTCTACAACTTTCAGCTTTGGTTAATAAGATTGTATTTTCCTACATGATGTTTAATGAAGCCTGGCCTATACTTTATACATTGTCATCTTATTGCTTTTGATTTTGAAATTATTGATATTGAATTATTGTAGGCAACTCTATTGCCAATGAAAACCTATAAAGGTAGCCAAAGTTCTTGCTAGCAACAATTTAAGCTTACCGTAAATTGTCATTGTTTTCATGAACATAGGTTTTGTTTTCTCAAAACTAAGTTCTAACACTAGAGTTTCTCTTTGGTGGACATGCTTGTTGAAAACAGAAACTTATTGTTTTCAGCATGATTCTTCAGTCAGAGCTGTCATTTGTTGACAATTGCTTGGTCACCTCTCTAGTACAGTACAATCACAGTCAATGTTTACATGGCTGTGCGAGTACTGATAATGTTAAAAACTTCCCCTTACTTCAGGGTGGATTGCTCCTGGAACAAAGGTGAAAATACTGAGCTCTCGGCTCACTCGTTTTGAATTGTGGTGTTGGTTCATTATTGGAGGAGGTATGTTGTTAAGGCCAATTATTGTTAGCAAATGTTTAAAAATGAACCCACGCATAAGACTGGAGTCTCATTTGGTGAGTCTGCTGGGGGTGTATTTTAAAACACAGCAGATTTACCCACCAGTTTGATGTCCGCTTCTATGAGTGGCTTAACTTGTATGAGTCAGGAATGGAGAATGTGTCTTGGAGAGGAGAGGAGTTTATTTTCCTCCCTCCTTCAGATGGGGGCCCCAGGTTGAGGATCATCATTACCAAGGGCAGAGGCTTTAGCCATAGTCATGTAAAGGCACAGACAGAGCTCAAGTCATTCTGTCAACGGGACTAAAGAGGTATTGCGCAGGACTTAATTGAGCTTAATGTGGGATTAAACTTCCATAAGATCGTTGAAAAGTTGCATTTAACATACCAAAATAGAGAGAATTGTCAGTTATGTCATTTGAACGAATTAACATTGTCAAAATGTATCAGATTTTACACGCAAATTATTCAGTAACAGGTTTATTAGTCATTATTGCTCACATCGCTGCCTATTTATGCACATTTGTGTCTCTATTGTGTCTAGCCTAACAAATGTGTTCAGGGTTGTCCAGTTTAGGAGCGTAGTCTAGATGATCTCTTTTCACATTCAAATTCTTGGCATGTGTGACAAAAGCTCGCTTAATTCACTGGGCGATTTAAGGGTGGGAATCGTGAGTGATCCCGCTATAGAATATTATCATGATACTTGAGCCACAATACCATACATAAAGTGTTCTCTTTATGAGTTGTGATACACAAAGTATTGTGAACTTTTTTTTTAAATTTAGCACCAGCATTGAATAATCAGATGTGTAGTGGTGCAAAACTTTTGCCTTTAGGACTTTGAGGTCTACTAGGCATTGATTAGTAGAAACATAGTACATGTTTCATTGTACTATAATATGTTTGTTTCACCCACTTCTAGTCAACTACTTAAAATTTATCACAAAACAAAAGTTTATTTAGGTTTAGAAACTTGAAAAATGACACCTAATAAGAGTCATTGTTTATTATTGTAGGCAAAATTAGGTTAAAATTACTTTGGTACTCTTCATTAATGGTGTTACATACTGCATCTCCTCTTCTTCTTAAAGCAAGAATAAGGCACAATATGTTTTTTACCAACTAAAAAAATACTAATCAGTGTTTTGACAGGTTTACTTTTAACTGTTAGCACACTGTTGTGGTGAAATTGAGAAATAGTTGGTCCACGTTCATTCATCATAAAGCGAACAGTCGTCTAGACACCACCCGCACACACCCACTCTTGAACCCGAGTCGGGCTTTGTTTGAGTCTACATGCTGCACTGTGGATCATTTATTACGCTTAATACGCTGATGGCCTTTTTTAATGGTTCACATTACGTCTGCATAACCGCCTGCTCGACTTGTGCGTGCACTTTCGTTTCTGTGGTGATCGGGGTTAATGCGCTAACATGAGGTATAGCCTCCGAACCACAGATTATTCAGACAATAGGAGTGCATGACTTGTGATTTCCTTGCAGACTTACGGGTATGTTGCGCCGTTTCATCTTATGGTTCGTGACCTCGGCGAATCAGAGGGAGAGGGACTTTTGATTTTAATTACATGCATCTGCAAAGAGTGTGGCGTGGGACCGAATCTGCTTCCAGGCTGCATAAGTTGAAAGCTTGTTGAAGGCTGCCTCCAACTCTCGAGCTGACAATGTGACCAAGGATGCACTGGGATACGATGTGCAAAGCATTAGCTAGCTGGTGCCATTCTAAGTGCTTTACCCCTCAGATAGGGACTTTCAGGCCCACACTGTCACGGGCTCATGCATGTTTGATTTGACACTCTTTGAAAAATGAATGCAGAAGATGTCACAATGGCTGCATCCCGTTTCTGTCGGCGAGAGCAAGTACTTTGAATCAAAAATGACACCCAGCTACTCTTTTTCCAATGCGAGGGCTTGATATTTGGCACTATAGCACAAAATGTCTCCACCACACTGACAATTTTGCATGATCACAAGCAATTACCTTCGTTTTTCGGTGCCAATAAAAGCTCGCAGCACTTTGAAGTCTGGCTGCCGCTGTGTGCCGTGCAAATCCAGCTTAAGCAAAACAAACATATTGTCCTCAGCCTGTTTTCTTTTGACTGAGGTAAATTAGTATACATTCAGTGAGCCATGTTTTCCATGCTACACTGTTAAGTCCTGCTACTCTCTTAAAGAGATCCATCTCTCTTTGAGAAACAAATATGTGCATTGTTAAGTACACTGATTCTATAGACTCAAAGTCAGGGCTCGGTTTCAAGTCATTGAAAATATTTGACTGAAGTAACTTGTTGTACGAAAGCTATTTAATAGATATTTTGACATGTACAAATTCTGCGTTTGTGCTTTTTTCAGCAGTGTTTATCTGTATGCATTTATTCAGGCTTTGCAGAAGAATGCCAGTGCATCTGCGTTCATTTTATGTATTGAAATACTGCCATGTTTTCCATCATGTGTAAACCTTGGACCTTGTCACCGTGTCTGAGCTGTCTGTCTCTGCGAGCGGGAGATTTCCCTCCGTCCCGGCGAGTGATCACTGTGTTTCTGAGAGGGACTTGCAGTTACGTTCAACGGTTCAACACAGCCCGAGGGATTCATACATGTTTTCCGACAAAGTAAATTAATTAGGTTTTCTTAGGAAAGATAAATATGATTTCTCATCCAAATTTCCCTTTTACGGGAGGGAGGATTTGCGTTTGCGTGCGCCAAGTGACACGCACACATAACCTTGGCTTAGACATTTGCACAAGGTGAGACTAAATGAAAGCTGAATGAAAGGCAACTACGAGTTGTCAGGAGAACATGACAAATAGATGAATAGATGGTGGCGAATGAAATTCATAGATCCGCCAAATCCCTTAGTGTTGCAGGAAAAAAAGTGAATTTATATTAAACAGTAAAAATGCATTTCATTGTTCTCATATTACTTTCTCTCTTTTAAACACTTGGATTGATTTTTTTTGTTGTTTTTTGATGAGGATGTAGAGTATGTCCGGATCATTCATTTTAGGATGTTTCAGGGTTGTTACTATACTCTGTCAATTTAGTTTTCAGTAAGAGACTAGATGGTTTCTATAGGCA